CACACACACACACACACACACAGAGGTCTACCTCAGTTGTGCTTTCATGTGAAGCTGTGCTTAGCGGAGATGAGAAAACACGCTCGCACAAGTACACACTCACACACAGACACGGAGGTCTGCCTCAGTCATGTTTTCCTGTGAACCAGATGAAAATACACGCGCATGCGCGCGCACACACATACACACACGTACGCGCACACACACACGCACACACACACACACACACACACACACACACACACACACACACATATTAGTCCTCCATCAGTCAAATGCATCCTGCGCAGAAAGTGTTGGACCCTGATGAGTCGGTGAAATCCCGACGAAACAGTGTCACAGTCATGCTTTTTTTTTGTGGAGTTGTTTGCAGGTAGCGACCATGGCAAAACATACATGATAATCATTCGGTGGCATTGCAAGCTGCCTGCCTGAAAACTCAGAGAAGTATGGCTTACTCCAAACTCGTTTCCTTGCTCCTACTTTTTCCTCCCTTTCATTAGAGCTGTGAAATTTCTCGTTCATTTCCTCGTTTCATCTTCATCTCAATCACTTTTCCCCGTTCCCTTCTCTCCATCTTATTATATCTCGTTAATTTTCACTTACCCTCCCCAGCAAAATAGTACTCTCCTTCCTCTTGTGACAGTCACTTTTCATCAAATTCAATTCCATTATTACACTGTCCCCTCATTCCCTTTGGCTTGCCTTTGCACCCCTCTTTCATTTGCTTGCTCCCCTCCTTTCCTCCTTTTGTCCTCTCTTCCTTCTCCACCTTCCTGCCTCATGTTTTCGCTCTTTACTTCTTTCCTCCTTTCGTGTCTCTTCTTCTTCTTCTTCTTCTTCTTTTGTATTTGGGGAGGGGATATTTCTGACACACACCGAAAGAGCCCCAAGGATGACACTGATCGCCGTCTTAGAGGCTGGCGCACAAGGCGTGTTGAGGCGGTTTTCACGTCTCCAAGAGTCTTCATGACAAGAAGAGCACTTGACTCGTCCTGAGCTTGACCTCAAGAGCTTCGTCGGTCCATCCTTCCATAGCTTTCCTCTCGACATCATCCGCGTCATCGAGTAATTAAAGCTTGTAGGCAACGAAGAGGCGAGCGATGGAAGAATAACGGTCAAGGCGACGGCCGCCCAAATCCACCGGACAACGACCTCCAGCCACCATCGCTGAGTCAGCAACCACCCAGGAAACTGCAAGATCGAATCGCAAAACCAGCTGCACAAGCAGAGCCACCGATGAGACTCCATAACGGAACGGCTAGATCACAAGAAGTTGCCGATGATCGGATTCCCTCGCTGACAAGGCACGTTCCGTTTCGTTCCCTTAGCGTCACTCCTTGCAGCTCCTTAGACTTGCTTCTCTTGCTGACATGGCACATTCCGTTCAGTTCCGTTCCATTACGGTCACCCCTGCAGCTCCTTCGTTTCGACTGAGAAATGATCACGAGATACAACCTTTCCTCCTCCACCTACCTTCCCCTGCCACCCCCAGCTTCTCCTCCTCCTCCCTCCCCCTTCCACCCCCAGCTTCTCCTCGTCCTCCTTCCCCCTTCCACCCCCAGCTTCTCCTCGTCCTCCCTCCCCCTTCCACCCCAAGCTTCTCCTCCTCCTCCACTCAGCTTGGGTTCCAGCCACGGCCAGATGCGCGTCACAACGTCGAAAAGAGCAGAGGAGGCGAAGCGGAAATATCGAGGAAAAGTTGTCCTTCGCCTGCGCAGCAGCGGAAAACCGATCGCGGGTTGAAATAGGGGCCAGAAACAAGCAACCGGACCACCAAAAGATAGTAGTTCTATTTCAATCTTTTCGCAAAAACAAAGGCATACCACCTTCTCCTCCTCCTCCAAGTAGAGCTCAAATCTGCTTGAACATTCACTTCTCAATTGAGACATGTAATCAAAAGGAAATGAATTGGGCAACCAACCAAATCCTTCAATCAATCCGTTGATCAACAGATCGACCCATCACCAACAAATCGATCAACCAATTGCAACTTTCAATCAATCAATCAATCGCTAGAAATCAACCAATCAACCAATCAATCAATGGGATCAACGGATCAGGCTAATCAGCAATGAATCGATCATCAATTATTGGACCAAAATAAACAAGCAATCAAACCAATCGGTTAGCTGAGAACGATCTAGTGAATTGAAGTGGGGGGCACTTGCCAGCAACAAAAACGGGTATCAAACCCATCATCATCAACTAAATAGAAAAACGGGGACAAAGAAATGAATCAGGAAACATGAGAGAGCACAACCGAGTAATGCAAGCGGGCATCAAATTTGTCATCAACTAATTACAAACAGGAGCAAAGCAATCAATCAGGAGATGATCAACCGAATCCATAAAATCTCACCTCTACCCTTTGGCAGGAAATCAGCCAATCAATGGAATAGGATTAGATAAAGATAGGGGAATCAATCCAACGATTCCGATGCCCCTCCAATTTGTCAAGGCTCCTTCTCCCATAGGAGAGGATCAGCAGCTGGAACCAGCAGCCACGGCCCCCCCCCTCCCCCCCCCCCCCCCCCCCCCCCCCCCCCTCAAAAACAAAAGCGTAGGTTACCCCCGTTCCATCTGCTGCCTTCCTATTTGGCTCAATCCCCGGACGGACAAAGTGCAAGTTCATCAAATCGACAAAACCGAAAAAAAAAAGCTCTGATATCCAAAAAGAGAAGGAATTAGGGGGGACAAAAGACGGATAAAAGTGCGAATTACAAATAAACGGCAAGTCAAGAGACTAAGAATTGCCGGATCGGAATTTCAAAACAGGAACCAAGAAAAAAAGATATTCGACATTGAATTGCCAGATCGGATTACAAAATTTTGGAAAACAGAAGAAAAAAAAAGAAGCACTCGACGTTAAAAATTGCCGAATCCAAATTTCAGGAAAAGAAAAAAGTCGTCCGGTGATGGGTAAGCAAGGGGGTCGGAAATGGGGAAAGAAAACATATTGGCATAGAAAAGAATACGAGGAAGAGAAAGAAAGGTGCAGACGATATACTTCCTAAATGTAAATTTGGGTAACTTCACCACAGGATCGAATCCCCTCCTTGTCTGACTGGCTTTTTTTCTCCCTTGCTTTTTCTTCCCATGAAACATGAAATAGCAGATGGCCGAAAGAAGATCAGCTATGGCGGTGGTCAAACTCGGAAGAAGATCGGCTATGGTGGTAAAACTCGAAAGAAGATTGGATATGGCGGTTGTCAAACTCGGCAGAAGATTGGATATGGCGGTGGTCAAACTCGGAAGAAGATTTGCTATGGTGGTGGTCAAACTCGAAAGAAGATCGGCTATGGCGGTGGTCAAACTCGGAAGAAGATCAGATATGGCGGTGGCTCTGGCTCAGAAGATTGTTGAATGACAAAACAACGAAGCTTGCCTTCTTCAACAGCCACCCTCCTCCCACCTGGACTTTCCGATCTCAATTTCCACGATGAAACTTAAGTGTCAGAGATCGGTTGATCGAATCCCCGATCTACCAACGTCACAGGCTCCTTCCCCCTTGCCTTGGAGGAAGGACTGGTTGATTCAAATGGCTATCCGAGGTCAAAGAGGGAGCCCAAGGAGAAAACAAGATCTACCTGCATAGCAAATAAAAACAAGAAGAAAAGCAAAAACCGAAAAAAGAAACGCCTTGAGAGCGCAACTCGTCAAGAATTGAAGAATCGGGAGCAAAAAGTTCGAAAAAAAAAACTCAAAAGGGCGAATTGAACTGAAAAAAGAAACGCCTTGAGAACAAGACTCGTCAATATTCATCAATATTGAAGAATTCGAAAACTTAAAAAAAAAAAAAAAAAAAAAAAGCCTAGAAACGACGAATCATCAACAGAATCGCAAATAAAAATCCTTTTGTTTCTACGACGGAATTGACGGCTTGCATTTCACTTTGGTCAATGGCTACGATCCGGACGTCCGGATCGCCGTTCAGACGGTCTGGATTCAATCCGGGCTCCAGACGTCCGGTCCGGAAGGTCTGGATCTGCCAAAAAAAAAAAAAAAAGGGTCCAGGACCCTTCCCTACTGAGGGGCCAAGCCCCCAAAATTGTTTTGGGGGGTTTTCAGGCCCGTTTTTGTTTTCTTGGGGGGTCCGGACATGGTCTATCTCTATAACATTTATTACTAATACCCAAGTAATGAATTGTCAATAATTTGTCTATGCGTCGCCCGCCCTGGCACGTCCGGGCCAGTTGGGCAGAGGGGGGGTCGCCCGGCAAAACCAGACGGTCAAAAAAGAGGCAAGGATCTCCCCCCCCCCACAAAAAAAAAGACCAGTCCACGACTGCGCTTGGCCTAAGCAGTCAGAATCCGGTCTTAACTTTGGTTTTGGTGATGGGTCATCCAAGGGGGGTGGGGGGTATAAACAGTGACTAAAGGGTTTAAGAGGGTATATTTGGACTCACGTGTTGTCATTTATTTTTATCTTGAAATTAACAAGGAATTTTAAGGTGGCCCTCAGCCAAAAGTCGATTGTATTGCACTTTTACACAACATTTCTTTTTTCGGATTTTTTCAAATTTTCTTTTTCTATTTTTTAAAATATTATGCACTGGGATCACCCGGGAGGGTACCCGGGCGACCTATGACTTCAATCCCACGTTTGAGTGCGTCGTAGAGAACAGGTTGTGTCTTGATCCACTTGAGTGTCTGATGGTCGGTCCTCAAGTAGAAGAACCTTCCCAACAAATAGTGCCTCCAGTGGGCAAGTGCCTTATAAAGAGCGTAGAGTTCCCTTTCGTAGGTGGACTTCACCAACATCTTTGATGGCATCTTCTTGCTCATGTACTCGATGGGCCTCTAACTTCTTCCCTTCCTACTGAGCCAACACTGCGCCAATGTCGTACTGGATTGTGTCAGTGGTCACTACAAATGGCCTTTGAGGATCGGGAACCGTAAGAACCTCATGATGTATAAGGGCATGCTTCAATCTCTTGAAAGCAGCCTCGCATGCATCTGTCCATTCCCATGGAGTGTCAAGGCACGTTAAATCAGTCAACGGAGATGCGTATAGTTCTGAGCAAAATTGTGATAATAACCACACATTCCCAAGGACGAACTGACCTCAGTCACAAACGAGGGTCGTGGCCAGTCTCTAATGCTAGCCACCTTCGCATCTTCAGGCCTAATCCCTTCTGCGGATACTTCATGACCCAAATACAAGATTTTAGTGCGACCAAACTCGCATTTCTCTAAATTTATCTTATACTTGTGTTGTCGGAGGAGAGAAAGTACCTTGTCTACATGTTGAGCATGTTCCTTGACAGTCCTAAAGATAAGGATGTCGTTGAGGTACACAGCGATAAACTTATCCAAGTAGTCATGAAAGATCCTATTCATGGCATGCTGGAATGTACCCGACGCATTGCAAAGACCGAAGGGCATCACCACAAACTCATACAGACCGCACCTGGTCTGAAATGCGGTTTTGTGTTAGTTTTCCGATCTAATGGCAATCTGATGGTAGTGGAATTTTAAGTCAATCTTTGTGAAGTACTTACATCCCTGCACCCTATCTAGTAGGTCATTGATGCGCGGTAGGGGCTCTGCGTTCTTAACGATGATGGCATTGAGGCCCCTATAATCACTGCACATCCTTAATAATCCCCCCTTCTTCGAAACGAATAAACTGGTGAGCCGAAGAGAGAGATGCTAGGCCATATCCAACCCTTTTCTGTGAGCTCTTGCAATTGGCAACGGAGCTCGTCCAACTCGGTCGGAGCCATCCTATAGATTCTCCCTTTGGGTATCTTTATGGCATGGACAACCTCCTTGTCTATGACACTTGTGGGCTCCGCAAACAGATCAGGGTACTTAGGAACGACACTCTCTATCTCTGGGGGTGATTTAACGACCTCCCCTTTCTCAAAGACAAAGACCAAATACATACCCTCCTCTTGGTTCTGTTTATAATAACTATAGAAGCTTGATGCGCACAGCACCCGTAGGAGTCAATTAACCTACTAGCCTTCTACTTAGCTAGTCTAATTGTTCTCCCATTAGGCAACTCATGCTTTAGCACTTTCTTGTCCCAGTCAAACTGGGGCTTGGCAACCTCAAGGTAGTACATACCTAACAACATGTCAAATGGTAGGTCGTCGCTACCCAGGAACGAAATCTTATGATTAAGTTCCCCTCCTACATAGGAGAAAGTGCAGACCACGTCCTTAACGTAGTCCTCCACCAACATGCGCTCTTTACTGGCCAAAGTAGATGCTACCGGTCTACTCAGGCGCTGCACCCGGTCCTGTAGGCGCAGTCTTTCAACGCAGTCGTGACTTATAAAGTTTCATGTGGAGTTTATGTGTACGAAGGCACCGCACTTGCGGCCACCTACAACTTCCACAACAAAGTGCTCCCCTCTAGGACCTCGACTTAGTGCCACCCAGGACTCAGGAGGGTCCCTTGCCGACCACTCACTTTGTAGGTCCTCTAAGGCCTTAGACACATCCAATGAGCAAAGCATCGTTGGGTCAGGATGCGTCTGCAGGGTGACTAACGAGTCAATAGCTTCCACCAACTCTTGAAACAGGAAGGGTACATCACCCACTTCAACACGAGTAGAAGCAGCTACAACTTCTATTGACCCTATGTGTTTTGCGAGCTTGAACTCCTAGAGGGCCCACTCTGGGAAGAAGGAATCCCATCCTTAGGTGGTATCTTCTCCGAAACCTTTGCGTTCTTGCATTTGAACTGTTGATGGTCATATT